AAAGAGGCCCTCAGGCCGGAAGCTCGGCCAACGGCACTCCAGGAAATCCGGCCGGTACCCCCCACCCAAGGGTGGGAGGCCGCACCATCATGGACACTCTCATTCCCTTTGACGAAGGGCAAAGGCCGTCGGGAGCTTTCACGGCAGGGCGTGGAAGGGTGCTGTGGGGCGGTGCCGAGTCGACCAAAGGGCATGAAAGCCGCGGCTGGGCAGGGCGACCTATGTCGGAGTCGGGTCTGGAGACGAGCGCAGGGAGATCCCGCCCGACCCGGGCGCGTGGGCAGCGAGGGTCACTGTGGAGGGGCTCCTCGCGGGGATGGCTTAGACTAGGCCCCTGTGGCCATGATTGGTAGCGGCAGCGAGAATGACGATACAATTTACGCATATTCTCTTGTCATCCCGAATTGGGCAACCCCGCGTGATCGCTGCAGCTCTCTGGGTTACTATTGTGGGGAGGATGGATGGCAAGATGTGATCGGATCGGGGCGGAAAGGGGCGAAAAGGGGCGATCCGTCGGTGAGACTCGGTGGAGTTCGGTAAGCCCTCCATCCCTTCACTCACCTTGGTCCGTATCAGGACATCCGAGCCATGGGGTTCCACATCTTCGGCTTCCTCTCTATCTGTCGGAACGTTCATCTAGTTTCTCAGCCGTCTGGGGAATTCCAGCTTCTTCTGTGTCATTGAACTGTATTTTAACACAAGCCGAGACGATCCGGCTGACGGAAGTAGCATCTTCCAGCGCGCTCCCGGTCCTGCTTTCGTCAGAGGCGGAACCCACATCAGAAGGGGCACTCATACAGCCACACACATCCTGTCGACTCGACCACCAAAGGAACTTCATCATCCGAGGAGCGTTACACGCTCTCCACACCAAGCAAGTCACCATGGCCGCCGTCACTCCCCGGCGCCGCCTCATCGGCCTCTCCACCAAGATGTACTTCTCCCCCTCCCGCACAAAAGAATACCTCGACGTACTGCTGCCCCGCCTCGCCACATGCCCAGGACCCCACGCCATCGACATTTTCCTGATCCCTGACTTTCTCTCGCTGCCCGCCGCCGTCACCCAGACCGGCACAGCCCCTCTGCTCCTCGGCGCCCAGGACTGCTACGCCGAAGACGCGGGCGCCTACACGGGCGAGGTCTCGCCCGCCTCCCTCGCCGAGCTCGGCGTCCGCATCGTCGAGCTGGGCCACGCCGAGCGCCGCCGCCTCTTTGGCGAGACGGACGCCAGCACCGCCGCCAAGGCTGCCGCCGCCGCCCGCAACGGCCTCATCCCGCTCGTGTGCGTCGGCGAGCTCGACCGGCCCCTGGCCGCTGGTGATGAGGCCGGGGCCCAGGCCGCCGCCGAGGCGCTGCGGCCGCAGGTCGAGAGCGTTCTAGCGGCCTTGCCGCCAGCGGCCGAGGTCGTGCTGGCGTATGAGCCCGTCTGGGCCATTGGTGCTGCGGAGCCGGCGGCTGCTGAGCATGTGCTTGGTGTCGTGCGGGCGGTGCGCGCGATGGCGTGCGTGCAGGGCCGGGAGGGGCGTGTGAGGATTCTGTATGGGGGCAGCGCGGGGCCGGGGACGTTCGAGAGGTTGAAGGGCGGCGTGGACGGGCTGTTCCTTGGGCGGTTTGGGCATGATGTCGACAGGTTTTGGAGGACTGTTGAGGAGGTGGCGAGTGCGTGATTGGGTCAGGGCCGGGTGATAAGCGAGGCTTCTTTTGGATGTGGATTCAATGAGTAAATATGTAGTTGTTTGTTTCCTCTCCGAGATCTATAGATATGGTCTTCAAATAGAGGTTAGCTGGATCTTCGCCAAGGTCAGGTCTTTGCTGAATGGCAGCTGATCAATCACCATGGTCGTGGCAATCATATCGTCCGATGGCGTTCACCCCAGCTACACTCAACAACCTCACACTGACCCGGGAGAAACAGTATTCAGACTCGTATCAAGTGTCGTGCGCCAGCCAGAATCTACATCATCTTACTCGAAGTGTAACCACAACCTCCACGACCTTGAGGCCATATCAGGAAAGAAATGGTGACTAAGCGAACACAAGACCAGCCCGGATGACTCATCACACTTGCCCATGATGATGGGCTCAAAGTACAGAATCCTCGTCGAAGGCACCTGCCCGTCAGACACCAAAAGCACACTTCAACCTCGAGACCAGGACAGGTACGACTTCTCACATTGCAGTCAGAAATTGAAGACCAAGGGCTGCACTTTCAAGCTTCTTCCAACGCTGTCCCGCCCTCGTCTGTCGAGCCCGCCCCTCCTCCAGCACTTGAACGACCCCACGGTCATCGCCAGGCAGGTCCCCTTGTCACATGAGACCCTGAAGCGTAGCCTTCAAGATGGCCTCTGATGAGCTCTCACAGGACACGAAGTCGGAATCCTTTGCTGAAGAAGCCGCCGACCAGGGCGAGATTCATGCCGAGATTCTGCAGCAATGTCAGTCCATCGCCGGCCGCATCTCGACGCTGATCGATGAGCTCCAGCAGCTCAAAGAGGTTGTCGACCAGCGACCAGTCGTCGGCTCCAAGCCGCTCCCATGGAATCAAGCCATCACGGGTCTCGGCGTCTTTGAACGCCTCGTGCTCTCGGAGAAGCGAAATGTCGACAATATGCTGAAGCTCTGCGAAACAGCACAGGACGACGACACGGATCTCGAGCTGGTGAACAATAAACTTCGCACCAAGCTCGATGCTTGCAACTACAAATTTCACGATCTCGTCTGGAGCACAGCCAAAAAGTGCCACAATCTTGTCGGCCTGCGGCGCGACTTCTCCCGCACCCCGGCTAATCGCAAGACCGACACGGTGATTGTCGATGCCGTCGTCAGTGGTGGTGCTGAGTGGATCAAGGTCGTCAACACGACGGAGAGGAGGCTGTTTTACGAGATGACGGATGCCGGATGGGACTGGGAAGACGACGAGGACGCCGACCCAGATGAGTCGCCATTACCGGAAGGGAGCGAGAACGACATTGAAGTGGCACGATTCGCCCGCCAGCTCGTCGCCGCCGCCTCCATCACGTATCACGACTACCGCCGACCAGCAGTCAGGATGCTCCTGACGAGAATCCGCGAAGGCGAAAATCACCATGTAGACAGGCTTCTGAACTTCATCCGAACCTTTGGAGGCGAAATCGACCTGACACTCGAGACTGTCTCTGACACCTCTGGCCTCCTCTCCCAGCCGACGCCGTCCATTGCGGATGCTCTTTCCCACCTTGTCATCACCGAACCATTCAAGGACTTCACCACGACCCTCAACGTCGACTGCTCCGTCTTCATGGCCCTGGCATCTGACTTTAGCCACATGGCCATCGGCCCCGGTTCAGACCTTCTCCGGTCCGCCCAGCACCTTATCGACGCCCGCGATGAGGTTGAAAACGGTCCACGACTGCTGACGACAATGTACCCCGCCATCAGCAGTCGGGATCTGGTATGCACGCAAGACGCCGCCGACACGTTCCTCAAGATTGCCTACGACATTGGTACCGAATCCGAAGTCGCACGTGCGCGCATTCTCTTTGAAGCATCGCAGGACGCACCCGTCGACGCCGATGCCAGAGCAGCTGATTGTAAGCGTCGTCTTGATGAACTCCGCACGCTGTCATGCTATGCCGTCCCTGACGACCTGCGTCTGCCCATCCGCACCGTCGGCACCATCACGTGGGACAGGGCCCAGCAGCTCGTTGACGCGCACGAGCTCCCCGAGGTTGCCCTTGTCGTCGGCCAAAAGGGCTCCGGCCTCAACGCTATGAACGTTTCCTCCTTCCTCTACGGCTGGAAGGCCCACCTGACGACCATCACGTCCAACTGGGAGGCTGCCAAGCGTCTCAAGACTGTCATCGAGGCCAACAGGGTCGCCGGCGACGACGTCGTCGGCCCGCAGATTTGGCGCATTCCTTTTGCGAGGAAACTGCTGGCCAAGCCGAAGAGCTCGGGCTTGCCGCCGCTGAAGACAAGGAAGGACCGGAAGAGGGAGAAGGTTTCGTCGCTGCAGAGGTGGGCTGGCGAGGACGGGCAGACAGAAAAGGCAACGCCTGAGACGGCCGCGTCATGACCCTATTCTTCTTGTTGGGTCCCGAGGATGGGGATATGGTTCTTTTTTGCATTGCGTTGGCCGGGTCTCGAGATTATGTACATGCTTTGGGGGTCGTTGGGATGTCTTGATGTGCACTGTGATAATCCCAATTCGCTCTTCGTTTGCGCGACGTTAGACCTAGAGTCTGGCACTACTGCAAGTTTTATCAATATTGAGACTGACTGCGCAAACCACTCATTCTTCCAGTCCGGTTACTTCAATGGCCGGACATGCTATGGGCTTAGAAACATTCCGATCTGGAGAAAGGTATGGGCGTGTAGACATGCTGTAGCAAGTTGGATAGGCCTATGTGGGGCCCTTGGTCGAGGCCGACGAGCACTGCGCCAGACTGCCCACAAAAGACTGATCAAAGTCTGAATGCCATTATGAACTGCGCTACTTTCGATTCAGCCCATCAATCCCATCATTCCGATTAGTCTAGTGGTTAGGATATCGGCTTGTCACCTTCACCAAAGGAAACATTCGCCGGGGACCGGGGTTCAATTCCCCGATCGGAAGATCATATTTTTGTTTGGCCATGCTGCTCGCTGGTCCCACTTCACGAGAGGGACTCCATTCACACAGAAATTCTCGCAAGGGTAATCAGCAATCCAGCATTATAAGAAGTGCCGGGTATCATTCATGTCCCTGGAAACTCAAGACACTGATGCCCTAGCTTCCTTTCCTCCACATTTGATACGTAGATCACCAGCCTGATACTCTGACCCAAACGTCCACGATCCGTTCGGCGGTCTCCTTTTCGCTGGAGTCGACCACCAGGTACCAACCGTACATGGCACTCGTGACGCAAGCATGGTTTGGATATATACGGATGCTCTGGCCAACTTCAAGGGGAATCGGATCCTGTGAATTCGACTCCCAGGCAAGAATAGAATGTTCCTGGCTGATCCTCTTCACAATCAGCCTTGTCTTGTTCCCAGGCTCAGCCGAGAATGACTTTGGCCCGATCACACCCCATCCAGAATATGCAGCACAGGGTTCCCTTCCGAGCCCGAGGGTTCCAACGGCAACGAGCGCTTCGGGTGTCTCTCTCTCGCCGTTGTTGTAGACGCTGACGACTTCGGCGACCACGGAGATGGCGACCTCATCATCAATTGCGCCAAGGAAACCCCGTGCCTGGGTCGACATTTGCTGAACATCAAGAAGCGAGTAGACTCCCGCGTGCAATTCCAATTTTGTTCGGAACCCGGCAGGAGTATTCTGCGTTATTTGTTGTATCGTCTGGCGAAGATGGTCTCCGTGAGGCGACCCCGCCGCCGCCGGTCGCGTGAGGTTCTCAATTGAGGCGACTTGAGGTGATGCCCCGACGCTGATGGTCAGCTGCTTGCCCGGTTTGAAATGCGTCGCGTTGTTCTGGAGCGCCTCGACGCAGCCCTTGATCTCATCTGCCAGATTGTCCATCGCTTGCTTCGCCGTAGAGTCGTTGTAGCTCAAACTGCTGTGGGAATAGAGACCGATGAGGTTCGCTTTGCCTTCAGCCTCCAGCTGAGCGATCTTCTCCAGTAGACTGTTCTTGTTGAGCCCGCTGGTGGGAGGCCGGCGCGGTGGTAGCCCGTATCGACCTTGACGTAAATGCCTGCGGAAAACCCGGCGAGTTCGTGAAAGCGCTCCACCGCGGTCAGTTGGGACGCATGGTCTATCATGACAGAGACGCTACCAGGGCCGATGCGTTGTCCGAGAACGGCCAGAGCCGCGGCCCGCGATGGTGGGAGTGGGATGCCGTAGAGGACATTGACGTTGCGGCCATTGTCCCTGCACTCCTCGAGAAGCGGCAGCACGTGCTCGAACTCCAGCAGCGTCGAGACGACAATGTTGACATCTTTGGACGTCTCGCCTACCTGGAGACGAGCAACTTCGACTGTCTATTACCAGAGTGAGCGGAAGAAGGCGGACGAATGAGGAGGCTTGTATTGCTGGCACCATTCACCTTGTGTGTCTTGACATGCGCACGGAAGCCGACGCCCAGGCTGTCGACAGCATCCAGCATCGTCTTGCAGTGTCGCTTCAAGGGGACGACATCGAGGACTGCTGCCGGCATGGGCAGTTCCGTGATGAGTTTCCCGACATAGAACCGGCGCAGTTCTTCGACGTCGGGCGTGGGTCTTTGAGGGGCGGCCATGGCGTTCAACGATTATGCATGAATTGAGGTATTCAGGATTCACGAACCGAGTGATTGGGATGAGTGATGGTCATGTTAAACCCATACAAGTATTCTCGTCCTCTTTATACTTTGCTAGCGGCCTGGACTCAGCACTCGATCTTACGTGTAGACTCGATTAGTAGTCTGAGGGGTTCGTTAGTCTGGCGGATAAAGACAAGTCCGCCGCAGCCCCCATCGCTGTCAATAAGGCGCAGACTTTCTACGAGCGACTGGTCGCCATTGGCACTCTTCAGTGAATCATTTGTAGAATTACGGTCGTTTCAGTCCTTTGAAAATGTCGTTCTCAGCTGTGGCGGGCTGGTTCAACATTAGGCGTGCAAATCATGGGGGCGGAGTTTACTTCGTCCGCACAGCCCATGATAGACGACCAGCGATCGGAGGACTAACCGCGGGGTTGTATATGGTTCCAGGAATGATTCACCGGTTGCAGATTGAGCACAAATTTAACATAAAGTAGCTGAATATATTTCTTTACTCCCACAACACACATTGACTTTTTTGTGGTTGAGAATGGCGTAAACGGATCCCTCGTCCAAAGTAGTTCAGTGCGCCTGTCGTGGCGGCATTGTGAGCCAGCCCGGCTCTCTAGTCAGACAGAACCCCTGATCTCAATATACTTCTAATTAGGAAATTGAGCTGATATTAAAGGAAACGACCTCTTGCGGACGACCAATCACCAGATCGTAAGCATCGATTGCCGGCAAAGTCAAAAATCCCTCCTCATGCAATCAACAGCAGAATAATCGATTCCAGGGAAAGCGTGGGGCGTGCTCGTGGGAAGGAGGCTCGACGGGCGCAGTCCTCTTCATAGCCCCCATCGTTCCATACCCATTTCTCGTCGACCTCATTGCATTATGAGGTTTGGGCTGGGATGAAAGAACGGTCTCGTCAGTGACTAGTTCTGCAGACGTAAAGCTGTCTGCTAAACTGTCCGCTACACTGTCTGGCTGAGATGGTGTTGGTGTTGTCTGTTGCGTAATGTGTATCGAGATTGGCCGTTCATCCCAAACCGATGTGTCGGTGGTACCAAATGTTGGTGAATCTGGCAACTCAGGGGGTTGAAAATTGCTACGCGGCATGTTGAGCTTTCTTTCCTCTGGAGACGGAGCGCCGTTGCGTAGCAAGATTGTTGCGGATATGCCTGCAACACCTACAGGATCTTGTTCGAGTGACTGTGCCGCCATATTGATGGCGGCTGAACGGATGCCTTGGTCAATCATGAGCTGGCCGCCTGGCTGTTCAATCATGGATCGATTGTCAATTTCCGAGAGGTTTGTATCCGCTCGTCTCGGTGACTTCGATTTCGCGATGCCGTAGGAGGGGTCGTCCCTACAAATTTGTACCAGCTTCTCAAAGAACTCGACGATCTCATGTGACTGCGCTCGCTTGTTCGGGTTCATTCGCAGCATTCTGTCTTCGATGAAGTCCAAAACATCGAGTAGCAAGTCGCTGCAGCTCTGATCTTGACGAAGAAGACGTAGTTCCTAGTAGTCACATTTTAGCGGCTGTGAGCCTTTTATCATGAGTGTTGGGCAACGCACCTGGATGACCGAGGGTTTCATTCTCGCGGTTCTAATAATCTGTCCATCAACTGATTTAACCTCCTCGTCAAAGAATGAATCGTCAAAAAGGATATCTGTGGGCGGGTTTTCAGCCCCAGGATACGTTTGTACCTCGCTCCCGTTAGAGTCACGATTCCTCTTTCCAGCAAAATCGTCAGTGTGAGCCCAACCGAGGAGATACCATCCAAGAAATTCGAGGAACACGCAGCCCAGTGGCCACACGTCGTAACTTGGATTGACAGATCCATTGACTTTAATCTCGGGGGAACGGTAGCAAAGTGAGAGACCAAACTGAGGACCAACAATCTCCTGTATGGACCGAGTTCCATGACACGCAGCCAGACCAAAGTCAGAGATCTGAAAGTTTCCGAAGGGATCGCCTTTCCCCTTGAAGCAGAGAATGTTACCAGGCTTGAGGTCGCCATGACGGCCATATAGAGGCTTAACCTTCCCTGGCAACTGGAGATACGGCTCCTCATCGCTCGTTGGCTGATGGACGGCATCAACACCCCTAGCAATGGCAAGCAACTGTGTCATGAGCCACAATGGGAGTGTTTTATCTTTATCCCGGAGTCGTGGCTGCGCGGAGTGGTTTTCCCAGAATGCTGTAAGGTCGCCGCCGTGGGCCCAAGGGAATAGAAAGCTGTATTCTCCGTCTTTCTCATAGCTGGCCAACATTGTGATCACGTTCGGGTTCTTGCGAACTCTTAGTAGATTGTTGCGCTCGTTCCAGAAGCGCTTTTCGTAATCCTGCTGGGAAAGGGTTCCTTTTTGAAGACGTTTCCGGGCGAAATATAAATGTTGGTTGTCGTCCTTTTACACGGTTAACTCTCGTTCAAAAGTTAAAACATAAAGAGAGCGGAGGGAAATCAAAAGGCGATATACAAGAAATTTACCTTCTCATGAGGATAGTTGTGATGCGCGGGATGAACCACAATCTTTTCAACCTCTCCGGAACCCCCATAGGCCTTCGCGGTACCGGAATCACGGCCAAATGGCAGTATAGTCTCGCTCCTTAACTTAAGGTGAGGACATTTATGATCAGCCATGTCGAAAAATGGAGCAGTCACCCTCCATTGATAATAATTGAAAGTATCCAGAACCCTTCTCGTCCAGTGTCTGATAGGAAGGGGCTCCAAGACACCCCCTATCTCCCGAGAGACGACCTGTTTCGTGAAGTCGATGGCTAGAGGAAGGTGGCAGTCGTATATGCCATGCTCAATGAAGAGTTCAATATCGTCTGCCTTGTCTATAGATGCTAGGATTGCGAAGATCTTGCGCCGACACGTTTCTCTCATAGGCCGCCGCAGCCTTTTAGGCTGGCCGGGAGAGTCGCGTGGATCCGGTACTTTGTGCCTATCCAGAATGGCATCTGTAATTTCTTGCAAGTTGCTCTCGGGGTATCTGGAGGGAATCTTGCAGATTTCGAGGTATTTCTTTACCCGCTTCTTGACCATCAATGCCCCCAGCTCATCGTAGGGCAAAAATTCCGCAAAACCTTCCAGATGCTGTGCGCGTAGGACCTGATCATCCCAATTTTCATCTGGAGAGGAAATACGACCCTCTGAATTGCAGTCGGAGATGTCGAGAGAGCTGAAGTCGCCGTAGACATTAGGCGCGTTGTCGGTCCTAGGGTCAATACCCTTCAAAGGGTCGATCAAAGAAGAACCTCCCTTGCGGGCCGCACTAGCTTTTGTAATTGAATATTTGAGCTGAGCCTCTTCGCCGTTGTCGACGACCTCCGATAGGTTCGAGGTAATATCGCTGCGTGCAACCCCGACGTCTTTTGCGTTCGGAGCACGGTCTATGTCCTTCAACCCGACATTTTCAGCCCTCCAAATAAGAACAGAGGGCAAGTTCTGTTGCTGGAATGAAGAACTCTGCAGACAAAATCCTCATTAGCCTCTGCCTGGTATAAAGCCCCGGGAAACAGCTGAGGCGTGGATTGACACCTTCGTGATTGAATATTTACCATTGAAGCGAAGTCTACGGGCCTTTGTTTGCGTGATGTTTTTTTGGAGTTATCGGGTCCGTGAAGCAAATCACCTAATTTACACTCGTTATGGCGACGGAGCTGATAGGATGTCTTTTATCGAGTTGATACTGCCGCTTGGCAGCGAAGGCTAGACATGCCATGCGCTACCGAGCTCCAAATAGGTAGAGGCATAACTCCCCGCAATGTCCTGCATTTTGGTGTGGTTGCAGGAGGGCTGCCCGCATCGAGTATTGTAAAATTAGTTTCATCACAGCCTTTCCAAGCATCAATTTGTTGACCAGGCCGCCTGGGGCAGTGCTGAAGACTAAAGGAAAGGCGTGGTCGAGTCGGCGAAAGAGGGCAGCAGCAGGCTGAGTCGGTTAACTGAGATCAATACAGCATGAAATGGTGTGTGCTGGGTAGTGGTGGGATTTGTTTCAGGCTGTCGCCGAAGTGGACGAAGTCGCTGATGGCGTTGGCACAAACGCCCACGAGAAGCGGCCCCCATGGCCAACCTTGGGGGCCTGTCAGTTGATGGGGCCAGACCTTGCATCACGCATTTTCGAATACTAAGACCGAGATAATTGCCCCCGTGGCTACCTGATGACACCGAAATCGAAGCTGTGTCTTACTCACGGAACCGCCTTGGCGCCTACTTCAAGCTGCAATCAGCACCCCATATCACGAGTGACATGTCGTCAGCAGCCTCGCAAGGCAATATCACCGAACCAAGATGCGAGTGGAGTAGTAAATTCGTGGCCCTTTGATTGGAGGCTCCAACTGGTGTTGGTTGGTTGTCTCATACGTTGATTGGCTTTCATTGCCTGCACACCGATCCTCAATCAGCACTGCCACGGACTTTTTACACTTTGCTAAAGGATCGCCACTTGTCTCCGTGGTCGGGAAGCATGTGCTAGACGCCGAGGAGCTGCACTCTTGGGGCTGTAACTGGCTTTGCCCCATGTCTGCTTCCACGGGACCCTGCAGCCTGATCCCCGAAGCCACTACATTTGCAGCTTTATGGGGCAGCATGACGCTGTGTTGGGAAGAGAAAAATTGCCTTATCTAAATTCATCAAGAGGGAGACAGAATAACTTAAATCGTGAAAACACCCTGTCGGTTGTCCTCACGCACGAGAAGGACGGCTCCTGGTCAGACAACCACATATAACGCCCAAAGCGTCCTCACCCTCGGTACGAAACCGCCCAAGCGAATAACGTCTGCGGCCATGTCTCAGGAATCATCAACATACTGCAGAAACCGAATTGACAGCATGCCAGTCCAAGGGACCTTGTCGACGCGGGCTACCAGTCCAGATCGCTTGTTCCGAGCACTCAGGAACAAGCTTGGGCCTGGGGGATTCGCCGTTGAGGTTCGCCACGACAAGTACAACATCAGAGCTGCAACACCGCTTGAGATCGTGAGTTTGCAGTCGCCGCACATGAAGATAGAGATTGTAATTCTGACGCACATGAAGAGTTGCGAAGGGCATAACCCGATCATTAGCTGAGGGATAGAAGACGGCAGTATGCACACCCATCACCTCTAGAATTTGGCCTTTGAGATCATTTGTTTTTTTGGTGTTTATCGGTAAAGATGAAGGTCCCTGTTGCTGTGCTCTAGATCCTTTGTTTTTCATGGCTTCGGGGAAGAAGGAAAGATTGGGGGCAGGGGTTGACTTATGGCACGAGAGATTGCGCGTGACAGGAATCCACTAACAGCCAAGAAGAATGATAAAGATATTGTTCAGCAGTGTCCCAAGCAGTCAATTTAGCACAGCTTGCAAATGAACAGAGCCAAAGAGTACACAGGCCACCGTCTTTCATACCTTCTAGATCTGCTCGTAATGTTCGATTGCCGCCAGCGACATAAGCTGCGATTGCTGTACCTACAGACAAGTGAGCAGCTCAGGTCAGCGACAGAAGACCGAGGGGGAGTTGCGTACCGCATCGAGCCGCCTAGGGATTTGATACTCCCACCTGCCGCGTTTACGCTGTGTCATTGGAAGTCCGTTAATATGACCACAGGGATGAAAATGGCTGGAGTGAGGCGGGGCTGGGGGCAGGGCGGGGGCTTGGGCTGTGCATCGTGATACCTCCGGGCTGTGTGGGTGGACTTACCTTTACAGTGAAAGCACCAACACCGAACAGTCGAGAAAAGAAGTTCTCGATGTTAGACTTTTCCAGGTATGTGGCTCTGATGTACGCGACGGCCATTGCGGGATGTGCTATGCGGGCACCCTCAATCATGCACTACGATATGGAGTTCCTAGGATAGAATTAGGACGAAAGGTGGGAGATGATGGGTGTCCTCCTAATCACAGCGTATGGAGTACAAAGACAAGTGAAGTGTATTTAAACCAAGAGGTTTCTACCGCATCTGGGCACAGCCTACTGGAAGGTGTATCAGGCTACGCGGTAGCGCGCACCATTGGCGGGCGGTAGGCTGCATGGGACGGAGGCAACATCTCAACAAGAGGGTGTGACCATGTAGCAATATACATGCACGGTGAAGTGTCTTTCGCATTGGTGACCTAACCCAATTCCCGCCACTAGTAGTTGATAGGCGAACTCGTGGGCTGACCAGGCTTGCACAGGTGCATTCTTGCCAGAGTGAATACGAATTCGGACACCGAAGGCCCTCTCCCAAGGACAACACAACATGAGCATAATTGGCGAGGTATGCCTCAGAGATATTTCCAGCATCCAGTATAGGCCGTGAGTAAGTCACGGTAGCTGCGCAGTATCCATAATTCTCTCACTGGGCCATGCACAAATGGATTGGGTACGGGACTTCTCTGGCTTAAGCGCCAGCGACTTGGAGCGGTGTTTCGAATACCACTGGAGCAGCAGCACAGTCGTCAAGCTCTCCAGCACCGGCAAGGTAAGTGCGACGATGATTATAAACTCATGTACCTACTGTCAAGACTTTAAGTTAATCATTTAGTTGCTTACTCGGTCGTTGAGCTCGGAAAAAGACTGGCAGAAGTGGCTCGACAATGCAAGTGCTCCTACAGATCCATACCATCGCTCGTTATTGACCGTAGTGCCATGAACAGGAGGTACCAGATATAGATGATAAAAATGTCGATGGAGGGTTGATTCTTATGTGAGTAAATCTTGAGAAAACCTTCGTCAATTGACATTCATCCTAACGATCCAATTCAAGTTTGACCAGCCGATGCGATCGACCGAAACTGACTGTTGAGTCCGCGGAGCTATGTAATGAGAAAGACATGAACGAGAAAGTCTCAATCGCAGATGACTCGACTCTTTGCAACCCAAGCCGATCAAACACGCAGAGGTCCGAGGTTGTACTTCGGGAGAAAGAAGGGCAAAACGACTCAGGTTCAGGGGCAACTCGAAGCATTCGCGACTTGCCGTTTTCACGCGAAATTTTCGAGACCATCATAAGAAGATTCCACACTCACGGCACTTTGACGAGAACCATCAGCAGGGCCGATGTATCTGCATTTTCAGCAAACAATGTTTCCATGCAGTCAGCTGAAGGTGGTTCCTATCGTTCATATGGTACGTCCACTGGTACTTGTCATCATGTTGAGACAGCATGACTGATTGCAGTTCTCCTCGGATAGTCTACAATGCGCGAACATCCAATGAATGGGAGGGAGACCTCGCTATGACAGCAACTTACTTCCCATGCCGTCAACTCACGTTTGGAATTCTCTTTGGCTGCACCAAAACGATTGAAGATAAAGTGCTCAAGCGGCTGAGTCTGGTTGGGTCGGATGCCATTCATCCAATGATTCCCTTTGGCATCATGGCTGAGATTGAGCGTTCTAGGCATATAAAGCTTGTGGAGAACTCCATTGATGGCCTGGAGGCGAATATTGATCAGCTCAGCGAACGCATCGAAACCCGTGGCGAGGCAAGCCAAGAAGAGTTAGACAGGCGTAGCCGCGATCGAAAAGAGGCGTGGTTAGACGCCGCCCATCTGAGGAATGTGCTCATAAACTGGCAGAACCAGCTCAAACACATGGCAAGACATGCCAGACTCCTGCAATCAGCGCCGATGATCGATGCGCCGCAGGCAGTGACTACCAAAGAAAATGGGCATGGGCTCCAGGATACCCAGCACAACGAAATTTTGGAGTGCCGAGCCCTTGAGGCAAGCAGTACTCGCATAGGTGACCGACTTGAGGCCATTGTGGAGGAGTACGACGAAAAGATCCGTGACTCGGCCATGAGGTTAGATGGTATGCCCATGGCGACGCAATGGGTAAGACAACATATTGCCGTCATCCATTGAACGCATGATATCTGGCTGACATATCTGTTGCAGTCATATTCGGACACCAACGTTGAGATCGCTCTTGCAACGACCCGCGATTCGAAGCATATGCGCTCTATTTCGCTCATCACCATGATCTTCTTACCAGGTACCTTTTTGGCTGTAAGTGGTTGCCCAGATGGCACGATGCCTTGACAACTAATCACCACCGCCTCAGACCATCTTCTCAATGACTTTCTTCGATTGGGGCGACGGAGCAGGGAAAGCGAGGGTGTCGGGCATGATTTGGATATATTTCGTATTGGCCTTTGGCTTTACCACCGTTACTCTCGGAAGCTGGTATTTTTGGACATCCCGTAGACGTCGTACCAAGAACATATGTCGTTGCTAGCGATGGTCTCAATGAATAGCTCTTGGACGAGCGATCAATATTTTGTCAGAGGGTTGCAATTCGTACCGCCGTTTAATGGCGTGTCTTGTTCCCTGAGACCCGCACAGCAAATACTCCACCACGGAAGCTCGTTCATGGTCAAGCAGTGGCTGAGTAAGGTCTTTGATGACCGCGCGCTGACAGCCTGCAGCCTGCAGCCTCGTGCAACTTGCTCTACAAGTGAATCCACTTTGCTGCATACCTGGAAAACAAGCAGGCTGCCTCCGAGACTGACAAACCTGGCATTTTTAGCCTTTGCATATATTGGGCACCTATTTGCCTGACAATCCACCATAAGTCTGGGTTGACTTCTATCGCTCGAATTTGACCATCAAACAAAGCAGAGCACACAATGATAAAAGCATCACCCCAAGAACTGTCATCAGACGACCTATGGGAACTGTTGCACGACCACAAAGTGGAAGGCCTGAAGGACGATCAGTCATATTGGCCCCTCTCCACACTCCAGAGATGCCTGACGCCGGAGGTCGTTTCGAGAAGCCTGATTATACCCGAAGGCCCTAACAGTAAGTTGACAAGAGAGTCCCTTGTTCGCCAGATATGTTACCCTGATCCTGAGAAGGGCCACACATATATTCAATTATTTGCTCTTCTCGTTATGTGCGACAAGCTCAGTGATGCAAACGTCATCTTCGACAAGCGGAGCGCCATTTGTGATGCCGACCTTCCTCTGCATTATGATCACAAGGCCGAGAAAGCCTTTGAAAAGGAAAAGTACAGAAGCCTCGTTGGAATGTTTCATTAGAAGTTCTTGGAGACGGAAAGACTCAGACGCCTTTGACAGATGGCAATGGCGTTTCTGCCCTCATGTATTTCGGCGCAGGAAGCAGAGGTGCACCTCACAGCAGACTGGGGACCAAACACATACTTCCCTGGATTTCTCATGGGCCAGTCAGCGAATGGCTTGCGGATGACGACACTCGTGGTGGTGCATTCGGCGACGTTTTCAAGAGAATGTTGCATCCTGGTTGCCACACTTTCGACCCGCTCCTCCAAAAGGGAAGTGCCTTTGAACAAATCTGATACCCTTACTAACTAACCTTCAGCTGGACTTGAAAGCAGAATTTGTTGCAGTGAAGAAGCTCAGGGGAGGTTGTGAAGACAAATTTCGTCACGCGCAACGCGAGGCTGATCAGCTACGCGTCTTTGACGGCCGACTCCATTCGCACCTGGTCACCCTACTTGCCACCTACGAGATGGATGGCGAATACTTCTTTCTTTTTCCATACGCGGAACATAACTTGGAATGTCTGTGGGACAAGGAAGTACAGCCCAAAGATATGCAAGACCCAACGACTGTGCGGTGGCTTTCTCGCCAGATATGTGGACTTGTTGGAGCAATGGCTCAGATACACGAGCCACGCAAGATTGCGCCTGGAAAGTATGGCCGTCACGGCGATATCAAACCCGACAACATCTTATGTTATCGCACCCATACGAGCTATGGGTGGCATCTTGTTATTTCCGATTTAGGTGTCTCCGCGCTGAACTCGGAAGACTCTCGGTCTAATGTGCCGGGGGAAGTTGTTCCAGAGATTCCCGGTTATCGTCCACCAGAATGCGACATTCGAGGCGGCTCCATAAACAGGCTTTTCGACGTCTGGACAATGGGATGCCTCATTTTCGAGATGCTGGCGCAAGTAGTAGGTGGGATGACGCTCCGAGATGAATTCGATCACAAAAGAACCACATTTTTCATGATTGGTGGGGGTAGAACAAATGTGTTCTACGACCTCGTTGAGCTGGAAGGCGGCAGCTTCAGACAGTCCGTCAAAGCAGAAGTCCTGCAGGTGAGCAAAGTTTTGATAGGATCTTGGATGTTGCGCCCCCTGCGCTGAGTCAAACCTTAGAGCTCATTCTGATAGAAACGTGTCCCGTTTAGTGCTTCGACGTTTTGAGGGCTCATGACAGGTCATCGCAATACATCCGAGATGTTGTAACGGTCATCGAGGATCAGATGATGGTCATTCTCCGGAGGGACAAAACCTTGGTCAGGTCGACTTCAAACGAGCTGGTCAAGATATTCGATCATTTGCACGACAAATGTCAACGGGACGAAAAATACTGTATTTCACTGTCGAATCCAAGTCTTCCTAATGCGACCAGGGAGCCCGTTGCGGTATTGGTAGAGCTCAATAAACGGTCTCTCAACCAACTACAAAGACAGCCTGTGCAGAAGCGTTCCGGCCGGGAAAAGGTTTCCATGGATGCTAGCAAGATGAAAGAGTTAGACTTTGTTCATCCACAGGGCGGGACAGCCGGTAAGCAGTTGGGAGTTCCTGGTTAGTAGCGCCATGGGAGGTATCACCGGCGGGTTGGGTGTATCTCGGAAATGGAAAGAAGAATGATAAAGCCAAGAGATAGCAACATGTCTTTACCCACGCAATATGGTATGATTAGGCCAGGCTAACGAAATACCTCGTCAAGCCGCGCCGCAGCGCCAAGGATTTGCTCGTGAGCATGGCCGCGTTTGGGGGGGGAGGCAAACACACTTGAAGACCTCGTGTCTACGTATAACACCAAGCAAGGAGAAGAAGAGCGGCAAGAAGAGTGTAGTAGAAGAGGAGCCTTTTGAGGGACTTTCCAGGCCTAAACTGCAAGATTAGAGAACTTTGATGCTTCAGAATCGCGCAGGTTGACTACCTCTTGCAGGAATTGAACGCGTAGGAAGGTTAGCGTATATAGAGTTAATAACCTAGAGGTAGAAGGTCGGTCCTTGAAAAAACTGCTGTAGGGCCAGACCTCATTCGAGTAGAATCCAGAAATGAGCAGTAAGGTGATTGAGTAGCTTCGGGTTTCTCATTTACATTGACGAGGTGATTTGTTACTTGGACAGCTATGAATGCTTGTTTATTCGCCGGCCTGCGCTGCTTTTGGTACTTGTAGGGGTAGTCAGCATTTTCTTGCCTCTGATAGCCTGCACGAGCTGCGTGTGAGAAGATGGCCTTGAGCTCCGCGTCAATGCTAGACTCTCTTCTCCATATATCTTTCGCGATACCGAGAGTTAGCAAGGGGAAATATCTGACAGACGTAATTATGATGCGAACCTGGAATCCCGTCCAATATCCTTGCAGTTTCTTAAACTAGTGTTCACCAGAGGGACCCTGTATCGCGGGTTACTAGCACGCCAACAACAAGGAATGAGTCTAATCCGGTAGGTTATGCAGGTCAGGAGACACAAGCCAAGTACGTCAAGGTAAAATTTTAGCAGTTGTAGTCACCCTGACACCACCTACTTATCAAGTCTCACAATAATCACCCAGCCGTCGTGCGATCGTCAAGCGGCGGATTTACCCAGCTCACCCGCTTGGCATCAGTGGCGTGATGGTAGTGAGCTTTCGACGCAGCTTTGACCTAATACCAGTTGCTTTCGAATGATCATAAGAGGTCTATTATTGATCGTGTCGTCCTACATACATGGTTTTGCCGCCACAAGCCGAGTGTACAGCCGAAAAAAGACGAATATCGCAGTACTGCCTGTTAGAGACCGGGACAGGATCAATAGCTAGCCACCGGCCTTGGCCACCGACGGTCGCGACGGGTGTGACATCCATTTCGGCAATGGGTAACGATGCATTGTCCAAAATAAGAGGAGTGCCATAAGAAAAGGATTGACCGCGTGCGCTAGGTGCCGCTGTCGAGCAGGCAAAATTTCATGCATAGCATTTCCAAGCACATACAGTAGGAGCCAGATTTCCACATGGTCCTCCGTCGAACCTTGCGTACACCCATTGCGGCACAGTCGAGCAGCAATCTCAGCACACTCTGGGGTAAATCGCGATAGGTCACATCCTGTCAGGGATCAAGCACTGTATCTCGAGCAGCCCCTGTCTCGCGGGACTGGTCCGCAGTACCCTGGAAAACTCAAATGATCCGCTGGCCGGCGGAAGGCAAACGAACACCACAGGTTGGATTAGGGGCGGCCTGCCGCTTGTATTTAGCCAAAAACACGCCCTTCTAGCCCATGCCATGATTAAATCACGCAATGGTGCTCAACGGCATCGTCGAGGCGTGCAGTAGATTCTTCATTCTGAGGCGTCAACCCGACAGAACAGAGGAAATTATTCGTCGAGATGTCGATTGATTGGGGTGCGGCGCTGGCACTTTCCATTGCTGCCTACCTGGCATGGTGCCTTCTTGCCTATTTGAAATCTCCCCTGCGTCGATACCCTGGGCCCTTCTTTGCCAGTAAGTGCGCGTAGGGCCGTCACGCTCGATCTCAAAATATCGGCAGCGTGAGCGTACTATGCGTGCTGACGACGATGTAGAATTTACCAATCTCTGGCGGGTTTACCACACACTGCGTGGCGATATCCACCTAGTAAACCTGCGCACACATCGAAAGTATGGCCCTGTGGTCAGAACAGGGCCCAATAATCTGGACCTCGATGTGCCCAGCTTGGTCAAGACCATCTACACTACAGACCACAAGTGGCTGAAAACGGAATTTTACAAACCAGCGAGCAACATCGTCAACAGAGAACCTGTACCCAATCTCTTTAGTCTCATCGACCCGGCCGAACATGCAAGGCAGAAGAAGCCTGTCGCCAAGCAGTATTCGATGACAAGTGTGCTTCAGCTGGAGCCACACTTTGATGAAGCCATTCGACTGCTGTGCTGCCAGCTTAGAGGGCGTTTCATGCACGAGTGGGTCCACGATTGCTGTGAATTTGGTTCCGATTTCGACTTGGGTCAATGGATCAAGATGTGTAAGTCCCCGAGTACTGCACCATTCTCTGCTCGGGTCTTCCAAGCTGACAGGCTGTGTAGACGCATGGGACGTCATTGGCCAGATCACTTTCAGCAAACGCTTTGGATACCTCGAAGCAGGCAAAGACTTTGATGGGCATCTATGGTTATCCGAGATGGGGTCTGACTACCTTGCCAGCGTTAGCCAGTTGCCCATTCTTGACCGCTGGATCGACAAGAACCCTATCATACCAATCGGCGGTGCAACAGTGCTACTGGGACCGACGCTGCAATACGTGAAAGATCGATTTCAGGGTCGAGACAAAGCCACCCACGATGAAAGCAAGCCTGACTTTCTGGACAAGTTCATTCAGGCGAGGTCTGAGAATCCTGACGTTGTCGACGGTAGGCAGATTGTCAGCTACCTTGCCATCAACATGCTTGCTGGGGCTGATACGACCGCCATTACCATCAAGGCGGTGCTTTATTACGTACTGCGTACGCCGGGTGTGGGGGCGAAATTAGAGGCCGAGATTCTGGCCACGGAGTTCTCAAAGCAGCACAATGTACCGCCGCCATATTCCGAGGTCAAGTCGCTTCCGTACCTCGCAGCCGTCATTCGCGAAGCAATGCGGCTGCATCCTGGGGTTGCCATGACTCTCCCGCGTTATGTCCCTGCAGAAGCCCAGGGCAGCCAACTCGTGCTGCCTGATGGGTCGACTGTTCCGCCAGGTATCAGCGTTGGGATGAACCCATTCGTACTAGGTCGCAACGAACAGACTTGGGGAGTTGACTCTGATGAGTTCCGACCTGAGAGGTGGCTTCGAGACGAAGGCGCTGATGAGACGAAGGAGGGTTTTGCTGAGAGACTGCGGGGCATGGACAATGCCGATTTCACGTTTGGCGCAGGCTCGCGTGCATGCATCGGGAGGCACCTCGCCTTAGTCGAAATATACAAGGTCGTTGCTACACTCTTCGCCTCATACGAGATTCAGATTATGGAGCCGGAGACCGAGTGGTGGGTACGGAACGGCTTCTTCCTCCGGCAGCAGGGACCTCGAGTAAGAATGCGTCCTCGCAGAGACATGTGAATAAATTAGGCGAGCAAAGGAGCGATAGAATCTGCATCAAGTCATGTATCCAAGATCTTATTCGAGGGCAAGATGCTCCGGCGCTCGGTCCACCAGAAATTAGGTTGGGCTACGTCTTATCATTAGCTTTATACTGTGCGGAGGAACATCTGCAGCCGTAGTGTTGATGATTAGAGTAGTCTAGAGACATCCTCTTGGGTAGCGATGCTCAGGGCTTCTCAAGTCATTGGCAGGGAGAATCGCCCGGCTCATTGTAACGCCTTTACGTGTCAAGCCAAATTTCATGGGCACTCTGGCGTGTTACACAGATTCCCGACAAAAGACCGTCGGATCTGAAGTTTTGTGTGTCCTTAATTGATCGCTAAATACCAGAATCCGTTCGCTTTTCCGTTTCGTATACGTCCATGTACAAATACAAGCCCTTAAACCGTAAACAAGCCGGCGTCCCATATATCTCCTAAGCTTGAGTGGTCGATCTCTTGAACTTTGTATCGACACGGATGCTGTGAAGTGGGATGTCGTCGGCGTCATCGTCACAGCGATCTGCCTTGGGTGTGCTTGTCACGGTGAAACCGTACCCCTTGACATCAGGTCTCAGGGCGGCATCACTAGGTGACACCATGGTCGCGCCCAACTCCTCGCTCGTATATCGGGACTCATTGTCGTCGGAGGCCCGTCGGGAATGTTCGTCTTTGTTTGATCGTTCCGAGGTGGCGGCGGACTTGTTCGCAAAGTCCTCACGGGACGAGAGGCGCTCGCTGAAGTTTCCAGTCTTCTTGGAGCGCAGACCCATGGACGACGCGCCCCTCGAGAAAGCGTCGCTGAGGCTGCCCTTGATGCCCAAGGATCGTGCAAAAAACATCATGACCGGTCGAAGGGTAGGGAGGCAAGCGGAAACGATACCCGCCGACATTTCGATTGCCGTCCAGCCGACCGTTGGAGCCAGTGTGTAGGTTGGGTCGGTGGCGGAGTAGGTGAAAAGCACACTGGTGCGGTATGCAGACGCGAATACAACACTAGACGTTGTCAGTTGCCAAAATATCGATCTATACTGGGATACTGGAAGAGAAACGCACAAGAATCCCAAGCTGAATGCGAAAGTGAGACCAATCTTTTCGATCTGCTTCAGTTGGAGTTTCCAGATGGGCGGAATCGGCATGAGAAGGATGACAAGATCGGTGAAGATGGTCGAAGCCGCGTTGGCGATCCATGTGCCGACCTGGTTGATGCATCGTCCAGGAAGATGCGGGTACCAGAGCTTCTCGACCGGGACGCAGATGAAGATGAAGAGAAATGTGATGCAGACTACCCACGCCATGACAAATGCGCCGACTCCCCATGCCATCCTCTTGAAGTAGGGAACGCGGAAGATGCGGTAGTACATCAACAATAGACTCAGCTTGGTCCAGCCGAGGTTCCAGGCGTAGAGGACTTCAGCTACGACAAGCCATTTGGCCATCATGACAATATCCTCGAGGTCCACGAGATCGGCGTGGATGCCCATACCGCAAGAATGCATGGCAAAAATGAATCCAACAACGGCAAGGTTCCAGCCCTGTTCGCAGTGATGTCAGAACTCAGGGCCAAAAGTTGCTGGGAAACAATGGGTTATGCGTTGAAGTTAAAAGTCTAACATACCATCGAGAAAATGATCATCCAATCATCCCACCACAGCTCTTGACCCTTGAATCGCCGACTGACGAGCCGCAATACGACAGAGGCAAGGGCCAGCACGGTCATGGAAACAACAACTTGGATCATCCATGGCTGGAGATTGTTGGGGTTATAACCCGGCAGGCCCGGAAGCTGAGACTTCGATGACATGTCGTCCTGCGGAATGCTTGAAGCGAAGAAGAAGTTGGGAAAGAAACAAACAAAGATGCAGAAATCATGTCTAATATTTGCGGTTCTCGGAGCTTTTTAGACATATATTCTTCACGAATGCATGCTACTGCTTTGCGCTCCCACCCACCATCCCGTCACCCCCCTGACGCTGATGGCAGAGGGTGGCTCGAACACGACAGGGATGGGGGGCTCTAATGGGTTCCCAGCCGGCAGTGAAGTTTCGCGGTGCCTGAAAAGGCGATTGATCAACGAGGACTGCGGAGTAGCATCCACCTTATCTGCTGATGGACAGGCGATGGACCACAAGTACGGTATCATCGCGTGCGCGAGAAGTTTTTCTCTTGGGGCCCTGATGTTACGCTGAGGATTTTTTTCCATCACAGCGCCGCTTTCTCCTTACCAAAAATCAACCCGTTCACCCAAAGAACCGGTTCTCAGATATCGGCTGGCTCATCGATCTGAACAAGGCGTTTTTACTGCAATGCAGCCCGCCTATTGCAGCAATCAGCTTTGGTCACCAGCAAAACCCAAATCTCCACCATCGACACCCCAATCGACCCTGGCCTCCCTCCCCTCCCCTGTAACGACTTCGTCTCCCCGGCACCCGCGGCTTCGTCCCCAATCTGATAGTGGCTCGACTAAAAAGAGGCGTTGAGAGGCGTTGTCTAACGCGGGCCGCCCCCTTGCGCTAGACGAAACCAGTAGCTCGACTCCATCACGACGGCTCTAAGACCTTTTTGAGTGTTGATCCGCACAGCCTGACAGGTGGAAGCCCCTCTTCGCGAGGGCGCCAAAACCTGCGGTTCCAGATTCTCCACACCGAAGCACACGTAGCAGGGTCATGGTGACCGCGGAATGATTCCAGGCCTAAAGTTAGGCTGCCGGTCACAACGCCTCTCGCGACAATGAGCATATAGGGAGGTTGGCCCTGGGCACGCCAGAGAAGCAGCTCCTGCAGTCTAGTGACGCTGCATAATAACTAACACGAGAGCTCTTTTCTTCAGCACGGCCTCGTTCTTTTCCCTTCGAATCAGTGTCCAGCTGCATTACCTTTGATCGACCACCTACCCCGTCACTGCTGCTACCCAGTATCACTTTTCAATATGGCTGCCAAGACAACTATTCATGTCCCCCACCTCGGTGGCATCACTGCCGGATATCGGCTTTCCGGGGCCGCCATAGACTCGAGCAAGCCCACCCTTGTTCTCATCAATTCGATGTGCACAACTTCTTCGCTGTACGAGGCTCAGTTCAACAGCAAGACGCTTACAGACGCTGTCAATCTTTTGGCGATTGAGCCCCTGGGCCATGGCGCCACAAGCTCTGTCTCAGACCAATTCACCTATTGGGATACAGCCACCATGGCTCTGCAAGTCATGGACGCCCTCAAGGTGCCCAAGGCTTTCGCGTTAGGCACGAGCCAAGGCGGCTGGATGGTCGCTCGGATGGCGCTGCTGGCCCCTGAAAGAGTATTTACAAACCCCCCCCCCCCCCCCCAGTGAACCCTCGTCAGGTTCGTCACTCTGACCGAATTGCAGATCATCGGCCTGCTGCCTCTCGGCACTTCAATGGACTACGAATCCGCCGCCTCCCGCGAGAAGGGCTGCTGGGACCCCAAGACGCAGCTCGCGCCCTTCTTTGAGAGCTGGAACAGCGCTGTCCCGACACCCGACTTTGTAGTCGACGAAATCTGGCGCGGCATGGTCGCCAGCCTGGGGTTCTCGGGAACTGTAGGACCCGAGACACTGTCATTCTGGGATGCGACGCTCAAGGCCGTCTACTCTGGTGACGAGGGCCGCAGGAAGCTCCGCATGGCACTGCTGTGCCTGCTCGAGCGCGACGGCCTTTTGCTGCGGCTACGGGACATCAAGTGCCCCGTGTACTGGCTTCATGTAAGTTTGGGCTAACCTCGGAAAACCTAAACCATCGCGCTCACATTGTCTTACAGGGACCCGAGGACCCCGTGTTTGGCGGCGTTGTGCCTACGGAGCATATCAAGCTGTTCACCTCGTCGCCCGAGGCAACTTTGACCTTTGTTGAGGGTGCAGGCCACTACCTCAACGCGACCAGCCCTCGCGAAACCGAGGAGGCGATCCTCAAGATGGTCAAGAAGTACGCTTAGATAGGCAGATCAGTTTCACGACCAGAATTGAATGAGACCTGATGCGATGACCAATGCATTCGCAATCTATGCGAAATTTTGTGGCTTGACAGGGTTGTGAACTGGCATCAGGTTTGCTGCAACTAGTATTGCCCATTCGATGATCCATGTTCGAGCAAAGGCCTCGTCAATGTGAATTTGATTCCGCCGTACAAAATCTGAGGAAGAAAGAACACACATTTATGTAGAAAGCCAAAGGACAGGAGAAAATCTCTCCCCGAGCGATTGGCATGACGATGGAAAGCGGCCAGTGCTGATTATATCTAGTGATGGTGTGATGGTGCTTTCAAGACCAGCTGTGTTGGTGCGGCATGACCCATCTATGTATGCTCTCATCCCATTTGGGTACTCTCTGGTAACTGCTTGACTCGGTCAACTCAGCCTCAAGGACTAAAGAGATCATGCTGACAAGTTCGTCACCCATTACGGCATTGTCAGCTACTATTTTACTAGTGCTGCCTTCACACAAGTATCGTGCTTCGCGAAACGCCTTGGCGATGTCATCCGTAGCGATATCGGAGGGCGTGGGAGTCATCTGGCGATGCTTCACGCGCCTGGCGTCGGCTTAAGCTGGTTCAGACCAGCAAGCACCCGGCGTATATAATCCATTTAGTACCAGCTTAGTTTCAACTCTCTCAACACTCATCCAACTCAGGATTGCCTGCAGATAAATAAAGACATTATGACAACCTCAAAGCAACTCGCAACGGCGCTGAAGGCGCTGCATAAGCCCTCGTCGCCTCTCATCCTTCCCAACATCTGGGATTACGCTTCTCTGAAGGCGGTCCTCTCACTCAATGGCAGCGACACGGTCTCGGGCCCTGTCAAAGCCATAGCCACGGCTTCCTGGGCCGTTGCCGAGTCACAAGGCATCAAGGACGAAGACCTCACGTTCGAGCAAAACATGGCCGCAATCGGCCGGCTCGCGCCCCACGTCCAGGCCTCGGGGCTCCCATTGACCGTCGACATTCAGGACGGCTACGGGGCGCGCATCGAGGAGGCGTGACAAAGGTCGTCGAGCTCGGCGCTGTCTGGCGCGAACATCGAAGACAGCATCCCCGAGCGGGGTTTTGGTGGCGGGATCGAGGAGTCGCTGTACGGGGTGGAGGAGCAGGTGGACCGGCTTAAGGCGGCGCTGGCCGCCCCGGCCGCGGCGGGGTGCGAAGGCTTTGTGCTGAATGCCCGTTGCGACGTGTTCCGGCTTGAGCCTTACTGCGAGGCCAATGACAAGGCTTTTCTGGAGGAGGGCATCAAGCGGGGGCGCGCGTACCTAGAGGCTGGTGCCACGACCGTGTTCTTCTGGGGTGGTGGTGGTCGAGGGCTACGAACGTCCGAGGTGGAGGTGCTCGTGAAGGAGCTCGGCGGTCGGGTTTCTGTGAAGCTTGGCGAAAAGGACGATTCCCTGACGACAAGGCAGCTCGGGGAGATGGGGGTTGCGAGGATCAGCGTTGGACCTAGCCTATACTCGATCGCCATGCGTGCTGTCGCCGAGGCTGCGAGAAATATTTTATCTGGCGGAGGGTTCAAAGGATGATCTAAACATGCACGGCATCAATCACTTTGTACTTTGCAGATAGATTCAAATCGTGAAATCGCTGGCATCTACGGCATGACGCCTGTAGCCTGTCCTTTCTTGGCATCGTGCAGTGGCCGTGAAATCAGGCCACTACCATCTGCAAGATCATCACGAATAGCATGGATGGCAGATGAGCTTCAACGCTGGTGAAAAGGCTGCTGCGCGATTGTTGATCAATGGCTTTTGTGTCACGTACTCTTCAGCACTGCCACATCGTTTCCTCCTATCGGTCGTCCAGCAATAGATGGACCGCCACGTGTGAAGGGCCTCAAACGAGCCAAAACAAGCACATTGCCCAAATTTCGGGTCGGGTTTAGGGGGCCAACGGCACGTTGTCCGCCGCGGCAGTACTCATGACGACGCTCGCCTTGGCCAGCCACCGTTGGTGACCCGGAGACTGTGTGACAGGGGGGGTCTGCTTGGAAGCTTGGTTCGGGGTGCCGAGCCCTGATCTCATTGGATTCCAGCGCTCCCCATCGCAGCCGACTGCGTCATCAACCGCTGGCCAGCCTGGTGAGGCGGGGGGAAATGATCGTAGAATGGGAATCAAGGTCATGGCTATCCATTCCAAGGCTGGGCTTCCTTTGCAAGGTGATAAGTATATATGGCATTGATCGAACGCTGGACTCACGTGAAACCCCCTTGGGCTTGTACTCAATCTCCATCACCGCTATCACTGACAATTAGTGCTCCAGCCGGAAATCACAGAAAACTAGGATGCTGTCCGCAAACATCATCAAGCTTGCCCTTCTAGGTGCAGCAACCACAGTGCTCGCTCAGACGACGACGATAGCACCCGTGCTTCCATCCGATGAGCCGGAATGGCGATCAGACGACGCTTTTACCTCGGCGGTAGTGGGCACACACAATGTTTACCGCTCCGAGCACGACGCCGAGGACCTCGTCTGGAACAACACGCTTGCTGAATATGCCGAGGAGTACCTCGATAGCGACGGCGACGACGATGACGAGTGTCCCGACTTCGAGCACTCGGACACGCCTTACGGCGAGAACCTGGCCATCGGTCACGCCAACGCGTCGGCAGCCGTCGAGGCGTGGGGCGACGAGCGCGACGAGTACGACTTTGACGACCAGGGATTCGACCAAGAAACGGGCCACTTTACGCAGCTAGTCTGGAAGAGTACTACAGACGTTGGTTGCGCGAGGAAACTGTGTCGCGGCGGCGATTGGAATGGGTGGTATCTCGTGTGCGAGTACTGGCCGCGCGGAAACGTACAAGATCAGTACGAAGACCAGGTCAGTGCGGGACAATTCGAGGGGGCGGCCGCTGGCTTGATGAGATCGCACCAGACTGCAGCATTGGTAGTGGCTCTTTTGGGCCTGTGGGTCGTTCTTTGAAGGGGGGAGACCGATTATTGTAACGACACTCATACGATGTCCACGACTCATGAACCGCGCTGAATTTGTTTTTATCCTTTACACACCATAGTGACAGCTCCCCGATTCAAATACGAGTCACATCCGCGAGGGTTAGGTGCGAGCTGTCGCCGATTCGCCAAGCTCTGTGCCGGGTGATCCACGAGCAGCACACACACGAAGCCGCAATTGAGGCTACCCAAGCTGAAGAAGTATCAGTGCGCCGGAGAACAGTCATGCAAATTGAGTACCAACATGGAAAGGGCAGATCGATGCAAATAGCCAAGATTTCGTACTGTCCAGGAGATGACCTAACTGTCAGATGAGCGGCCCATCCGCTCGCAAACCAGGAAGTGCTGGTGATTTACAGCTCCCGCGATCATCCTGTCGGATACGACGTCGTAGCGTTGTATGGAGCCGAAATGTCCGTTTCACCTATCGGTAACCTCTGAAGGTATATGTATCTGAATCAGGGGTCCTTTGCTCCAATCAGCCAGAAACCTTGTGATAGGCCGCAGGGCTCAAGTCCATAGCTAGAAATGAGCCGACTGGTCGGATACAATTACAACGGCAGCGTGGTTTTTGTCAAAGTTCGACTTGATTCTTCCCAGGCGGCTATTGTGCCATGCCTGCCAATGTATCCACTACAAACACGAGCTTTGATAGCCAACCAGGCTGTTCTCGACGCTGTTCATGTACTTGTAGTATCAAGTTGTCCTTGATATAATACAGCTTATATATATATAATAATAAAAAAAAACACGCGAGCTTGCGAAACATCGTCAGTGTGAGATGTAAATTTTCGAACAGTGGACATGGACACACCTCGACACTGATTTTTTAGGTTTGCCTAAGCAATGTTGAAATGCCGTACAGCCGCCACTGGTCGTCCCTGGGAGATTGTCAACGATAATGTTCTGATCGGATATATCTGTCATTGGCGTCAGTCCATAATGGGTCGTACGCCACACAAATGAAGCGATAGTGTCGCAAACAAGTTACGTCTTGTATGTGTCTCGGATCGTACCTTTTCGAACCTCTAGAAGCAGCTGGGATTCCAGCGCCTTACCAGGAGTGTCTGTTTACGTGGGGTGACTTACCATGGCTTCATTGACATACGTCTTGTCGATAAGTCTGGCTATTAGGGCTTCTACTCTGCATTTCATAGCATAACTCATGAAAGGGGCCATCAATTGTACCAGAAGACGTCAAGGTTTTGCGCCCTGGCGCAGACGCATAGTTTGGTAAAAGTATCACGCTTGGGTAGTCTTTTTGGAAGAGCATGTACTGGACAGCTGCGACACTGACTATGCTTAGACAGCAGACTTTACCCCGTCACACTTCTCTCTTCGATTGCCTCATCATGATCGGCAAGGTACTGACAAGAGTCCGTCCCAGTGACCTAGCTGGCCAAGTCAGCTTGTAAGTCTTGGTTTGGGAGTATCCTGAAATCTTTAGGCCAGGTCTGTTGTATCTCGACTTGTGACCGGTCACCTAACTAGCCACTGTGGTTTTCGATCTTAGGCTTGTTGCTCAGTTAACCAGTAGAATTTTCTTGTGATGTAATTTTCTTCTGTACGAGTGTGAGTGCTTGGTACAGTGCAGAGATCTTGTAACATGAGAAGGCGCCTTTCGGAAGAAATGGTGACGGTCCACCTACAACCCCGGCTTCTCTGTCCAGAATATACAGAAGCTCATACCCGAGTTTGTTGAGGAAGCACTAATATTGAAAGATTATCTCGAGGGCATTGCGAAGTCGGTCAAAACAATGAAGCCAAAGAACTAGGCCATGGTGGCCACGTGTGATATCATTAGTCAGGCGGTCCTGTAAGACGGTATGGGCCTTTTCAAGCCGACATTGTCATCAACACTCACCAGGGTGGAAGTAGTCTTTATAATCAGACCTCAGTCTCCGTAGTCTTCACTCGGGCTCAAGAGAACGTGAGCTTGCTCGTGAACATATGAGCACCGATGCAATGGGATAGGCAAATTCATCCCTTTTGCAGTTGGTATATCTGACAAAACAACTGCACCATGTATAATCAACACAAATTGTTGATCGATTTGTAGCTTCGAAACATGATCGTGCCGAAAGGCCTAAAACTCCGGATATCCTCGCCATGCGCGCGAACATTGATGGTGTATGACTCCAAAGCCACGCAGGGTGATTGGTTTGGTCCAAAGTTTCTCAAAACGACCATTGGAGAGATCAAAATTTTCCTCTTCGCGAGTTGCGACACGACGTCACTGGCGCTTGCTTTGCCTACAGCCGTCTCTACAAAAACCTGAACAACCTCGGCCGACCGCGCGCTCAGTACGATGCTGTCTTTGGCCCCGATCCTTGAATGACAGCCTCCAAAATCCCAGCGGCGCCCCTTTCCTCAACCAGCTTCCCAATACAATAGCCGTCATCAAAGAGACACTACGCCTCGACGCTTTTGTGTCCTCGGTCCGACAGGGTCACCGCAACTTCTTCCTGACGCACCCGGGAGCAAGAAATGTCTATCCGACAGACGATTTCATGCTCATTTTTGAGTACCTTCCTCCCGCAACGTCCCCAGATCCGTGGCCTGACCACAACGCGTTCCGTCCAGAGCACTGCCTTGCGAGCGAGGGTGACCCATTGTGGCCCATCGCCTTGCGGGCCTTTTGACCTGGGCCCGCGTGTTTATATAGGACAGGAGCTCACATTGACGGAGCTCGGGATTATTTTGGCCATGATAGTACGGAACGACGAGACCGCGACCACGTATGCGAAGGAGGGAGCCGTATCATTTACCGGCGATGTGGCGTACTGGGCAGACCTGTGTGACAAGGTAATACAGGGTCCGAGGGATGGTCTGCTGGTAAGAATAGAAAGAGGAAATACGTTGCCGTTACTGCGCAAATTGTAGACAGGCTCGCTACAGATCTACCGTAACGTCAGCAAGGATGGATATCCAACGGCCGGAACTCTTGCGATATAGAATTTGTCTTGTGCGTTTCTACACGGATGCCGTTGAAGTGGTTGTTCTGCAAATCGGGCTGTGAACGGGCAATTGGGACTGAGACTGGGTGCTCGCCAGAGACACGGACATGACGAAGGTGCCCTAGATAAGCGTTGCGTGCACGAAGAGTCAATGGCGAGACTCTGAAGCCCCGAGTATGAAAGATGCCTCAAGAGCAGCCATGCAGGGAACCCCCAAGAAAGCACCGTAGGCAGTGCAGGCCTGGGAGTCGTCAGCTGTGATGGAACATGCCGGGTTTACATAGAAGCCATGTGGCTCGGAGAGAACTGAATCGTCAAGCTCATCGATTAGGCGAGAAAGCAGCCCATGGCATCGCCCCTCGACACGTGGTGAGGAGGGGTACCATCGCTTTTCCAGCGGTTCAGATCCAGCGGTGTGTGAGTTCGTCTCAGTTCGACTCCGTGGTCTGCCACGTGGAGCACCAAGAAGCCGGTCCAACCGAAGACACTTCGCATGAGCATGGTATGCCGGCGAGATTGCCGCATGTCGGCATCAATAGTTGAAGGATCGATATTGCAGAAAATGGAACCATTGCGGTATCCGCGATAGGACCTCCGTCAGCTCTCTCCTGCAGGATGTCCAATGGCCCAGATTGGGGAGTGGGAACTCTCCACCGCTCCCATCTGAACTCATGCAAAGGATCAATTCGATTGTTCAGCCGAAGTCTCGGCCAACTACAACTGAGGGGAAGAGCAGGTTCTGATGCATTGTCTAACATCGGCTCATCCGCTCGCTTCGCCGCACCTTGCAACCCAAGAACCCCCCTCCTGGTAGTCATTTATCACCTTCAATGTCCCGTCGACGAGACGTCGCGTCCCAGGGGTGGGGCCAGAATGGCATGCTGCCTGTCATCAGAATCAAGTCATTTTGAAATGAGCTTGGATTGCTATTGATACATGAAAGTTGCCGTATGGAGTAGTCAGTCTCCGCCTAGAGTCTCGTTCTCGCACAAGAGCAATTTGCCGAACCCAAACCTACATGGAACAGCGCCCAACGACTGAAGAAGAAATCCAAGAAGGCGTGCTAAAAAATCAAGCACGGGTGGCACTGACTCGGCCAACAGAGCACTATCGATCAGCTTGAATGCGAAAGTTTGCTTCCCCATCCCCCCCCGCTCTAGGGTCCAACGTAAACCAGACTCTTCCTCGGGGTGTGTGACTGGCACCGGTGACCGAGGTGAGCGCGATTACCGCCTTCCCTGAGTCTGCAAAGATCTCTCAGAGTGGTCTCGGTGGCGATCGCGGAGTCTTTTCGCGGGTTCGCTTGAGGTCGCGAGCGCCACGGCGGCTAAATGGGGGACCTGGAGCGGATCAGCGCTCTAGCGGCCCCGATGCTGTATGTGCTCCACGTGCTATTGACAAGACTAATAGCTGACTGACGGTGCTACAGAGGTTGGCGAGACAGGGGGTTCGGATTGAGCGGCCGCGGGGGTGCTTTCTCAGGCTGCCTGGCGGCCTTCAGAGTACCAAACAGGGCCATAAACCCGAACAGTAACATAGTCCAGTGCTAGAGGGAAAAGGGCACATGCTGGGCTTCCAGGTAAGCCCGCGGATGTATGATACCCGCGCCTGAATCTTTCTTGGGTTTGTCGTGCACGGGACGAGAGGCAGTGCTATCGAAGCACGAGGAAATGTTCCAATGCCCACGGCGAAACGTCGATCAGGCCTCAGTTTAAGGCCTCTCCAAGACAGTCGAACGACTGGTCAATTCACTGATCACAGTTCATCTTATCGCCCATATCATACAGATTGACTTGATGATCCGGCCCCTCTCGCGCGAATCCACTTTCTACAGCTATCAACTAGTTTCCGAGACGTTCACTGACGGGCATCGGTCAAAAGATTATTGATCTTCATTGATCAATGCCACCCTCGGCGCCGAAGACATGTCGCCATCCATCAGCCCACAGGACTCCACGTGTACCCCAGTGTCTTATACATGTACATAACAAGTGCGATGCCAAGCTGACCCTCTGTGGAGTCTGATTCGCTGAAGAATGCAAGTGACAAGGGACGCAAGGGGGGAGGGGGCAACAGTTGAAAGAGGGGGCAAATCTGCCTGTCTCTCACCTCGCAATGCTGTTGGCTCGTCGCAAGCAGGGTTGGCCTAAAGTCCCAGGTGAGAAGAGTAAAACTGAGCAGCTTCACCCGGATGACCTGCCGAAAAGAATAAACCACACGTGCATGCGCGCAATCTGCATGCCAATTCCACGTGCGCTGGCCGAGATTACCGTAGGCGTGCTGCTAACGGTTCTGTTAGTTACAGGAAATGAACAAGTTAATGAAAAAAAAAAAATCAAGAAAACATACGAAACGTTCGATGGCATATTCCGTCGGAACCTGTCTTGCCTGTGCGCAGGGCGTTGTAGAGCGTAGTTTTTGCGCCACTCCCGCCCAGTTTGCCGTTTGTTTCTCGTGTTCCACACGTCCACATCTTTCTTCAGGATGATAGCGGACCTGAGCAGACGTGACGCCTGCCGTTAAGCTTCTTCAGGTTTCGTTAGGCTTCGCGGGCGGGTTCCGGGGCCGCAAGTTGGCCCCAAGGTGTCCTGCCGTTTAGCCTACTTTTGGACCTGAGCATCGCAACTTGCTCTTTCGCCCCTCACCAGACGCAAGGGACCTCTCTTGCGGTAGCCGCGCCTCTAGTAACGGATGCCATTCTCAGCGGAGAAGCGCTCAAACCCCAAATAAAGACAAGCAGGTTGCCACCCCTTGTGTCACCCAATCTGTCACTGTTGTCGCGCTGAACCTCCCCTCTCTGACTGTACTAATCTGTCGATTCCATCCAGGCTGATACAGAGCTCTGGACAGACGTTTGCGCCGGGGGCAAGATGCGTCTGTCGTCTGATTCGTGCGTTGGTACATTTACAACCAGCCGGGAGCGTTGTTCCATGTCGATTCAATTCGAGGCGATGCAAGGACTGGGAGGGGGGGTCATCCCACGACGGACAGATCAAACCCTCCGCCCGTGGCGTTCCTGGCGTAAACGTTAGGAAGCTCTAGAGCATCTAGCGCAGTTTTTCATCGTCTCGGCGGCATGGACCAGCTTCCTCTAGACCCGTTCCATGACAGCCCCCTATCCCAGTAGACTGGAGAAGGATGGGTCGCAGTGGAGCAGAGGGGTTTGCGAGCGGACGTTATAGGGCAGAAGTTTGAACCCCTGGACCGGAGATTGACATCCCACACGAAGGGGTGTCGAGATTAATGCATCCTACCTTGCCCTTGCTTGAGTAGGACAAGCCCCCTTTTGCCGTACGAACACTGCTGAATCGGCAGATGTTGTCCGCCAAAAAGCCTGCCAACCTAAGCTTCCATTAGGTGCCCTCTCTTCGGCTGGAGAGATGCCGGCGGAGGGTAGAAGCGAAGCGACAGGACAACGAACTGCCAGCCTGGCCATCAGCTATTCGTAATCCGTCGCCTTCGCGACAACAAACCCTGCATCTGCCCCTCTATCAGTGGAGCCAGTATTGGACTGGGCTTCCTTCTGAATGCAGTAGCTGCACGCCATGTGGTATGCCTGAACCCACGAGACGAAGCGACATGCGGCGAGTCGAGACTAACCTACGTCGTCGAGGACAACGCAGGGAGGCAAGTTCACCAAGGGCTGTCTACACCCCCTGGCCTGGGAATCGAGACGCTTCATTTAGTACAAGTACGGGGCGATCCCCCTCCAGCTCCTCACGACTGGTCTTCAGAAGGCCATCCCTCTCACGCCCAACCCGGACAACATTCATTACCAGAGAGATCCTCCACCACAATGGTCTCCTTCTCGACCCTCTTCGTCGGCGCCGTGGCCCTTGCGGCTCAGTCCGTGTCCGCCGGCCCTACCAAGCCCGCGGGTCTCGTTCCCCGTACCTTCGAAGGCCAGAAGTACGGCTGCAAGTGCTACCCTGGCGACGACTGCTGGCCCCAGCAGAGCGAATGGGACAGCCTCAACGCCAAGGTCAATGGAAACCTTCACGTTCACGTGCCTCCCGAGGCTGCTTGCCACAACACCTTCGATGGTTTGCTCGGCTCTCAGCAGACTTACGATGCGGCCAAGTGCGCCGAGGTCACCAAGAGTTGGACTAGTGAGACTTGGACGTGAGTCGAGAACCTCCTTGAACGACACCTTGGGAACAGTGATACTGACGATAGACCACAGCGTCGACCAAGAGGCCCTGAACATTTGGAAGTACTTCACCAACGTCACCTGCTTGCCCACGACCGACCCCTCTCAGTCCTGCACGCTCGGCTTTTATGGTGTCTACGTGATCATGGCCAAGACGAAGGACCACATCAAGGCCGGTGTCAACTTTGCGCGGGACCACAATCTCCGCCTTGTCATCCGCAACACCGGCCACGACTTTGTTGGCCGCAGCACTGGCTGGGGCTCTCTCATCATTAACACTCATTCTTTCCAGGACATCAAGTTCCACAGCAAGTGGTCTGGTGCCGGTGCCTACAAGGGCGGCGCTGTTACCGTCGGTGCTGGCGTTCAAGGTGTCACTATTCTCGAGGCTGCCCAGAAGCAAAACCCAAAGCTTACCCTTGTCACTGGCGAGTGCAAGACTGTCGGTCTCGCTGGCGGTTACGTCGCTGGCGGAGGCCACGGGCCCCTCACCTCTGCCTACGGCATGGCCGCCGATAACACGCTGGAGTTCGAGGTCATCACGGCTAAGGGCGATCTAGTCGTCGCCAACGAGAAGGTGAACGCCGACCTCTACTTTGCCCTCCGTGGCGGCGGTCCCTCGACCTATGGTGTCGTGACCTCAGTACTTTCCGCACCTATCCCGAGGATCCAAGTCGCTGGTGGCCTCCTTGAACAATCAACGCCACTCTGACCAACGACGAGAACCTCATCTGGGAGGGCATCCGCATCTTCCACAAGTACGGCAAACCACCTTGTCGACAACGGTCTTTACACCCTACTTTGAGATCTTTCCTTTCACCTTCCACGCACGCCCGTTTGTCGCCGTCGGCAAGACCAAGGATGAGCTCGATGCCATCCTCAAGCCCCTCCTCGACGAGCTGAACGCCGCCGGCGTCCCCTTCACTAGCATGACCAAGGGCTACCCCTACGCTCTGGGAGCTCTACAACGAGCTCTTCGAGGACGAGGCCGCGGGTCTGCACGCCCTCAGCGGCGGGTGGGGCATCACCCACCAGGACATCACCAACAACAACGACGGCATCGTCAAGGCCTTCCGCACGGTCCAGAGCCCTCGCGCCGATCTCCCCTACACCGGCGCCATGATCGGTCACTTCTTCAGGCCCCCCCGCTCTGACTCGACCGCCGCCCTCAACCCCCGCTGGCGCGACTCGACCAACTTCGTCATCGCCACCATGCTGGTCCCCGTGAACGCGACCGCCGCCCAGAAGGCAGACCTTCAGAACGTCCTGACCAACAACATGGACGGTAGCCTGCGCAAAGCCGCCCCCGGCGGCTATGCCTACATCAACGAGGCCGACCCTTTCA